GAGAATGAGTAGGCATAGGATTCATCAATAGGATTTGTGACCTCATGGCTCGGTACTCGCTCATTCAAACCCATAAGAAACCGCATCATTTTGTGTTGCTATGTATATTCAACAAATGGTTGAGTGACTTCACTTCGCAGCTTGGACATATACAAGTAAGGGTTGGAATTAGTGAATCATATTGATCCCACAACTGTCCGAGTTTTGAGTAGTATACGGCAACACTATCGGATCCTTGCACTAATAGATTAATCTCTTTGTGTAGGGCAAAGATTTTTGCTCCATGTTGTTTATCAAATCTCTCCTTTAAATCTTTCCAAACCTCCTCTCGCATATTGATAGTATACCAGTCCATTAAACAACGAGTGAGGAAACCGAGTTCAATATCCAAGCGTGAACTAATGCATTGCATTTCTTCCATTGCCTATAATCTGGAGAATCAATCTCCGGTTTAGAACACTTTCCAGATTACGAAGCCGTCCTTGCTCTTAGCTTCCAAGGAAATCATCATAGCTTTACTCCAAGAACCGTAATCATCCTCTCCTCCGAGTAAATGTGTAACCATCACAAGATTGGGCGTATCCGAAGGATGTAAAAATAGAGGATCATTGATGTCGCGATTATGAACAAGTGGGAGCTTCAACTGGAGTCGCCATGAATCTTGGTTTCAAAGATTAAAACTATGAAAGATAAGAAAAGCTAAGAAAGTAATCGAGAGATGAATCGCATTTATGTCAATGCGTGAAGAACATCTATCAATTTGTGAAGAGAAGAAATTCTAGGGTTTGTTGCTCCGATACCATGTTAGCATAAGCAAATTTGGGAAAGTCTCTCGTTTATTTTCATTTACTCGTACCACTATACATTTAGTATATATACATATATGAGCTATTATCCTCTACTTCTCAACATAACCTATGCGTGTCTAACTAGTTAACTAACTATACAACTGGCTAACTAATTGTACAACTAAATATACCTCTAATATAAAGCATGATTAAAGTGACAATTAACTCCATATCCTTGAAAAAAATTACAACCGGTTGCTAAAGTGACGCAATGACATCCTTCAAATAAAAAAATTAAAAGAATTGTCTTTTTCTTGAATTTTAGTTTATATATATAAAGAAAAAAAAGACACACATACATACACACATAATTTATTGTATAAATTATAATAATATATTTTAAAAAATAAAACACTTATGTTTTAAAATTTTAATTCAAAATTCATATATTAAAAAACTAAATTTATTAACAAATAAAATCATATAAAAAAATTAATTTGATGTGAATTTTAATAAGAAATAAATAATTAAAAAAATAACTTTAAACAATAAAATTAATATAATTAGATTTACTCTCTCTCTCTCTCTCTCTCTCTTTCTATATATATATATATATATAGGGGAGAGAAGCACCTATTTACAAGCCAACCAAGCGCTACATAACATTTAAAAAAAAAAAAGAAGTCAAAAGCAAGTGAGGCTAGGCGTTGGCTCGTGCGAGCAAGCCAACGCTCTCGGGCCTACCATTGCGAGCCCTTGCTCTAGGGTTTGCTCAAAAAAAAATCCCGCAACTTTCAACGAATCCGAGGTCGTCAAAAGTTCATCGGAAAATCGAAGGTCAATTTTCGGATCCTTAAAAATTGAATTTTGGCATCATTTTTTTCCCCAAACACCTCTAAATGACTCGAAATAAAGTCAATCAACACATCTAAAACCTTAAAAATCATTTTAATACACACAAAAACAAAGAAAAATATAAAATCAAATCGATTTTTTTTCCTTTTTTGACTCCGATTTACCTCCTCTAATTGTTTAATGGCATGAAACCACCATAGATAAACTCATCTCTCAAAGATAAAAAAAAATCAAGTGGATTTTCGTCGTCGATTGGCCTAAATGAGCTTGGCCGGCGATCTCTCTCTTTCTTCCTCTCATCCTTCTCTCTCCATCTAAGGACCAAAATAGATGAGCAAATGAACGATCTCTCTCTTTCTTCCTCTCGACCTTCTCTCTCCATCTAAGGACCAAAATAGATGAGCAAATGAACACGTGGATTGAAATATGAGTTTGCAAATATTAGGGATCAAAGTGTAAAAAAAAAATTATGAATAATAAAAGTAACAATGAATTATGAAAAAGTGAATAGTAAAATATGAATGTGTGCGTAGTATTTCAAATAACATAGCTACAAGTGTTTGGATGTTTTACTTTAGTTTATTAGTTAATTCATATCTTCATTCCAAAATATAGACAATTTTGAATTTCTTTGTCCAATTGCTTCATAACATTGGACAATATTCATTGAATACTTTGAGTAGGATGAGGGGCTCAAACCACCAAGTGGACAGTTTGATTTTTGATTGACCACGTGTAAAACATAAATAAACCACATATGAAATTAATTTGGTCATATTAATTCAAAATTTTAAAATATAATTCATTTTATTTTATAAGATTTAAACTCTTAATCACTTGATTTATGAAACTTTAATATCGTGATAAATAATTATTTTAATCTAAAAATTTAAACTCAATATATATGCATGCATGCATTTATAAAGCAATGAAGTGGGATTAGCCGTTGTTCAAAAAAGAAAAAACTGGATTAGTCTCAGCACACAGATAGCTTTTTTGTATCATTACCAAACACACTAATCAAATCCAAATTAAAAAACAATAGTGGTGAATTGAGTCATGGACGAATCCAAAATGGTCACAGGATTTTCGCTGTCCAATGATCATCCATTGTTTAGCCGCCCATCTTGCAAACTGTTTGTAGCAGACAACACCAAACTTATCAAACAAAATCTCTTCAAATTGGGGAAACTTTTTGACAATTCAATCACCATCTAGCATCCTTTCTTTTACCCCAATAGGAAATTATATATTAAGGAATAATCAAATCCTAAGTCCCCCCATGTTTCTTAAAAGGAATTATAGTCTCACCGAAAATACAATTCAAGTATAACATCACCTGCATGCAATTAATTATGAATGGGTTTTGTACTTTATATATTTTCTGTACTTTTTAAATTGTATTTTGCTTCTTTTTTTTTTTTTTTTTGTATTGATTGAATTTCTTTATTTTTCATTTTGTTTTATTTTCGTCTTTCCATTATAACATTATTAGTTGCGAGCTTATGTGACACGTTCACTTTTGAATATATGACACATGTCATATATAAAATTTCAATAGAGTGATTTAATTGAAAAATTCAAAAAAAAAATTGCAATTAAAACAATTCAACCAGTACAAAAAATCAAATTTTTTATTTTAATTTTATGTTATTGTGTTTCTTATGCTTCATCTTGAATACTGGGAAGCATATTTAACATGAGATCTCATCAAAGTAGACTCTAAAAAGCATTTCTTTTATTAAAAAAAGTATTATAATAATTTCAAAATAATAAAATACATATAAAAAGAACCTAACATGCAATTAAAAAAAATGAACTATAAATATATTCATCAAAAAAAAATTAAAAAAAGAAGAAGCAATAATGCTGACTAGTAGCTAGTTATCTATATATAAAAAAATATATATAGTGCAATTTAAAGTTTTTTTAAAGAGCAATCCTATTTTTTTACTTTGAATTGGTCAAATATTCGAAATTTCTTTTTTTTCTTTTTTCTTTTTCTTTTTCTTTTTCTTTTCTTTTCTTCTTTTTTTTTTTTTTTTTATATAAAAGATTAGACTCATTAACTAGGGTTCTATGAGTGTTCCCTATTGCATCACTATATTTTTGTTTTAATAATTAGATGTTAGAATCTTTTTTTTTTTTTTACATATTATTTTTAACTTATTATAACAATATTTTTTAAAAAAAATACATTTCAGAATTTTATTGTAACTGAATCTCATATATGACATATTTGGTGCATTTAGGATGAGGATTTAAAAAACAAATAACAAGAAAATAAGAAATAAAAAATAATAATTTAATCCTTGCATTTTTTAAATTGTTTTAATTAAAACCTTGTACTCTTTCAATTATTTTGATTAAATCCTTCTATTAGGAATCAACTTATGACACATAACATAGATTCATGAGTGAATATATCACATCAGTTCACAATTAACAACATTATAATTTAAAAAAAATTGCAAATAAAATAATAAAAAGAATAAAAGACTTAATCAACAAAAAAATAAAAAAGTATAGGATTTTTAGTAAAACAATTCAAAGAATAGGACACTATAATGGGAAAAACCCAATTATGAACATAAGATTTTAATAAATTGTAAAATTATGTACCTAGTAACTTCACTTGTAAAATAAGATTCAAATCTTACTAAATGTCATTTCTCAGTTATAATAGTATAAAAAAAGTCTCAGCTTTTAATAATATATATGTAAAAGCTACCCGTTTTGCATAACCAATACCCATTGAAAAAAAAAAAAAAAAACGATGGCAACTTACATCTTGGGTAAGTTCAGCTTCTTGTCCTAGGTATATTAAACACGCAATATCATTAGCCATACAGAGATGTTTGTTTAAGCCCGTAGCTATCCTATAGTTTCAATAGAATTGTAAAATACAAGTCTATTGCATATGTCAAAGAAACAAAAACCATTCTTGCTGTGTATCTTTTGCCAAGAAAATACCATGAATTTTGCAAGTCCATATAAAGAAATGAACAGCAAAACGACATCCAATTTTTTATTACTGAACATCAGAATCCTGACAATAACGGAAAATTTTTAACTTGAATTTACATTTTCTGCCACAAATCACTATACAATTTTGTGACAATGGGGAAGCTGGATGCTCGAAAATGGATGTCTGGGTCGCAGATTCTCTTGGGTTATGATAATCTTCCTTCAATCACAAAGCCTTCATCCCAAGGATACCCAAAGCATTCCGGATCCCCGATAAATCTGTGGAGAATTCCCAGTCAAGAATTCATCTTCTTATATTTGACCTGTACAGGTTGGGGCTGCAAATTCGGGTTTTATAGCTGGCCTCAAGGGTTTTCTCCCATTACTATCTTATGCAGACTGCAAAGATGTCACTTGATCAGCACTGGTTGCCTCGTATGCTGCACAAGCCTCTGGGGTGTCTTCTTCACTGGGTGGTACTAGCTGCCAAAAGAGTGATAGATATGTGTCCCACTCCTTCAGGATGGCAGTGCCTTTGCCGCTCCCGGTTTTTTCCTTCACCAGAAAGGTATTTGTAAGTACCTTATGGTTGCAGAAATAAATCTGCAGTATGTCTTAGTTTGTATAGTGGCTTTGTGCATGTGGACTAGTTTTGTTCAGTAGACTTACAACATGGGCTTCAATAAGGTTCTTCAGCTGCCTCTGGCCAACGGGAGCAGTTACTCTTTGGACCTTCACTATTTCTTTATTCACCTGTTCAGAGTTACAACAGATATTATTTTGAAGCTTTCAAGAACGAACTGGAAAAAAAAAAAAAGATTTTGAAGCTAAGTAGGGGAGGATTTCAGGAACACTAAGTATGCATTAGGAAAGAGCAATCAGATTAATTGAGAGAATGATGGTGTACATGCAAAGCGGCTTTTTCCATAGTTTGAACCCAAGATATCCAGAACACAATGGGGCAACCTTACAACTGCACCAAGGTTCGTCCTCAATCAAGGCAGTGAAAGGAAAAGGTATCTAGAGTGAAGCGGTATCCTATTTTTCAGATTTTAGTTCATCCCTACTAGGGAACTGATATTTGTGTATGCTTGAGATGCTGATCATGCCATAGAAATGCTAAGAAACAAAACGCACCAATTGGTAGTTAGCACTACCTTCATAGAAATTCAATCGAATTAAAAGTACAGAATTTGCATATAGTAAAGTGTGCCTGGAGAGAGCATAACATCAGCACAAACCTTGGGCATCAAAGTGTCATCCTCATCAAGAAGGTAAGCCAAACCTCCAGTCATCCCAGCAGCTACATTTCTACCCACTCTGTGACATGGAGATTAAACATGGCTCAGAATTTTAAAACACTCTTTATATTGCTTGACTAGAAGAACTATGTAAGGTAGAGAGACATTACTCACTTTCCAAGTACCACCACGCAGCCACCAGTCATGTACTCACAGCAATGGTCTCCAGTGCCTTCAACTACAGCTTGAGCAAGTGAGTTTCTGACAGCAAACCGCTCCCCAGCTTTCCCTCTGACAAATACTTGGCCACCTGTAGCCCCATACAAGCAAGTATTCCCGACAATGGTCGCATCCTCAGGAACAAACCCAGTATTCTCCACAGGACTTACAACCAACTCTCCTCCAGCCATACCCTGAAGGCATTTACATTGCTAGTTTCAGAAACCATAGTTCAGCAACAAGATTTAACAGTCTGCTAATAGGATTTGCACATCACATTAGCTTCACAATGAATTGTCCAAATTTATAGTATATTATAAATCGAAATCAATTTATCTGTTCGGCATGTTCATTATGAAACCACCAAGTTAATTCAGAAGTAGCAAAATTCTGACTCGAACCATCAAGTCAAATTTCACCACAGATATAGAACCAACTCGCAAATAGATGAATCAAGAAACTCCCAGGGCATGATTGCCGAATCAAGTGACCAAATGCATTTGAGTTCAATTTCAAACTTGTCAAACAACTAGACGAGTTGAATACTTTCCCGGCATACCTTTCCCACATAATCATTAGCCTCTCCTATCAGTCGGATGTTCATTCCAGGTGTCAAAAAGCATGCAAACGACTGCCCAGCACTCCCAGTAAACCTGTTGACGTTAAGATAACTCATTTCAATTGCATTTGAATATAACAGAAACTGTCATGTTCATCCTCTAAATTTTTAGTACTTGCTATCAGGAAGTCACATCTTACGTTATGTTCAGCTGCCCAGCAAAACCACTGTCACCATATTTCTTTGCAACCACACCTGCTATACGCCCACAAACAGCCCGGTCCACATTGTATATTTTTATGGTTTTATTGATAACTTTTTCGTTCTCAATAGCATCTAGAATCTGGAAAAATAAAGAAAAAATTGTTAGAAGTAAAGCAGCAAGTAGTAAGGCACCCTACATATGCTGGCACATGATTGTTATGTTGTCTGTGTACCATCACAGAATCACAATGCCATACCCAAAACAACGAATGGGTAGCTTCAGTCCCGTAGCTCATTGAATTTTCTCAATGTTTTCCAACAAAAATATGGGGGCGCCAAGGCACTTCCCCACAGGAAGTAAAACCTATAAGCAAAGCTCACCCCCTAAACCCCTTTACAACTGAAAGCTGTTGGTCCAAAGTTGAAAATTGAAAAACTGATACGAAGCATACCTCTGGATCTGCTAGAACAACATCATCTAAAACAGGACCATTAGTGTGAACATCTTGATTCCTGATATCAGTACTGCTCAGTTTTGGTAATCCTACACTCTGGAAATAAAAGTAGAAGCAATGTTATAGATATGTAAGAAAGCAAGTCCACATCAATGAAACATGTGACCAGAAGTAGAGATACTCTTTCAATACATACCGACAAAATATAACCAAGATTGAGATGCTGAGTTTTGACAAGGGAAATATCTCGTGGTCTTAACAAATCTGTATGCCCGATGACATCATCTAACTTCTGATAACCCAATTGTGCCAGCATGCCTCTTACCTAGCTCACATAAGGAAATGCAACAAGAATCAGGACAAAGCATTAGATAAAGTTTGGAAAAGGTCAACCAGACAAAAGAAATGAGTGCAATATTCCATCAAAATTATGAAGGCACAGAAAGAGATTACCTCCTCAGCAACATATAAAAAGAAATTAACAAGATCACCAGGCACACCAGGAAACCGAGCGCGTAGTTCTTCTCTCTAAAGGAAATTCAATTTGAAAGAATTAAGTCACTGAAGGGATACACAACATGCAAATCCATATATAGTTCCAGCAATACCTGACTAGCAACACCAACAGGGCAATTATTAGTGTGACAAATGCGGGCCATTACACATCCCGTGGCAATCATTGCAACAGAACCAAATCCATACTCGTCGGCACCCATTGCCGCAGCCATCATGATATCAACTCCGCTTTTGAAGCCCCCATCAACCCTAAGGATCACTCTTTCTCTGAGTCCATTCTCAATGAGAGTCTATAAAAGATTGCCAATGATCAAACAGCACACCGAACGTGTGAGAAGCAGATCACAAGGGGTAATATACTATTCACACATGAAATATAACAACCTGATGGGTTTCTGTAAGTCCAAGTTCCCAAGGACCACCAGCATGCTTAATGGAACTTATGGGGCTAGCTCCAGTTCCACCATCATGCCCTGATATCTGCAAAGAACATAGCACATAAGAGTCAGCACTCCCCAGTCCCCACTGCTTTTGTGAACATAATCAAAACCAATATTTCTTTTTGACAAGAATTTTCCACCTTTCCATATGCCCATATGGAATCATAAAATAAATTTGTCCTTCGGAGACCAAAAAAGAAAAAAGAAAGGAAGAAAGAAAAGCACAAGTGAATGCTTCTGCATAAGAATTTAATATTCAGTCACATCACTTGCAAATGATGGTTGACTGCGTGCAGGGTATCGGAAGAAAAGAGGGGTTGGGATGGTTAGGACAAAAATACCCACATTGAGATGCCACCTAAAAGCTGGAACTTGATCTTTACAGAAAAAAAAAATTAGGTATTGTACTTTACCACTTAACATATACAGAACCCAAAAAAAAACAGAAAAAAAAAGGCTCTTCCAGCTTATAATGTCAGAGTAGTTTAACTTTTGACCTTAAACATTTACTATACTTCATGCTTAATATTTTTGTCTTAGAAGAGACAATTCCAAAAATAATTGAAGAGTCGCTTTGTTGGAGGAACATAACAACCCACAGTATATTACCTCTTCATTAACAGCCAGCAATTGCTTGAATATACCAATTTTGGAAGATGCTAAAATAGCAGGAATGAGGAGCCACAGAACTGTCTGACATATTAAGGATCAAAAGACATAGTCAATGCATCATGAGAAGGTACCTGTATAATATCGGCATTACCCTTTGCTACCCCAGATGCAACTGTGCCAATACCTGCTTCTGCCACAAGCTTTACAGACACCTTAGCCTTAGGATTGACCTGTTTGTTCAGCAGACATTGAAGTTGTTACAATTTGGGGGATATATATTCAAGTTAATAAGTTATGCAGATTCAAGATAGAATAAATGATCACCTGATGGAGATCATAGATCAATTGGGCAAGATCTTCAATTGAATAAATGTCATGGTGTGGAGGTGGAGATATAAGTGGAACCCCAGGTTTAGAATTTCTCAGCCTCGCAATGTATGCACTAACTTTCTTCCCAGGCAATTGGCCACCTTCACCAGGCTTGGCACCTTGTGCAATCTTGATTTCTAACTGATCAGCATTGACCAAGAATGTTGGAGTTACACCAAAACGTCCTGAAGCAACCTGAACAAAATACAACTCGTTGTCATAATATAATCCTAATGCCAAGATGCATTGTTGACAAGGCCTGTCTAAGATTGACTACTACATCTTTTGTAAATAGAGATCATCAATGTCATAGCCATACACGCTTGATCCCCTAAAAATATTCAATCCTCTTTAACATGAGGTTACAGACATTTTTGAAAGCTTCTCTTTCAAATGAGGTTACAAACTCGTTTGAAGGCATAAGTCATGATAATCACCTGCTTAATAGCACTGGTAGCAGTATCGCCATTTTGAAGACCTTTAAGATGTGGCAATGTAGGAGAGTACCCATCAACAACATCTGTAAGTGGGCTCCAGCGAATAGGATCCTGGATGCATAATATTATTGTAAACACTGAAGTCTCCGATATATGTTAAGAAAGGATAATACACACACACACACAGAGCTCTATGTGGAGCTGATGGTTCATTACTAATCTTTGTGCCTGTGCATGCCTGTGCGTGATTCATAAAGATAGAGGTAGACAGCGAACAGACCAAGTGACAAACAAAACAAACAGAACAAATGATGAAAGACTACCTCACCACCTTCCCCTGAATTAGATTTCCCACCTAATCTGTTCATAGCAATGGCAATTGCTTCATGAGTTTCTCTTGAAATAGCTCCAAGTGACATCCCACCAGTGCAAAACCGTTGAACAATAGATGTAGCAGGTTCAACCTTTCCCACAGGAATTGGAGCACGATCACTTTTGAACTCAAGAAGATCACGAAGAACCTACAATTGAAATGCTAGCAGATTCTAATTACATGATCATAACATGTTGATTTTCAAAGGAATACAATATAGTATAAAAAAAAATTAAAGCAAAAACTAATTTACTTCACCACTCACATTCACAGGCCGGTTAGCCAAATGCTGCTGATAAATAGAAAATGCATTTTCACTCTTTTGACGAACAGCTTTGTGAAGCAATTTCGACATCTCTGGATTGTTTCCATGATATTCCCCTGTTATAGATATTTTTTAAAAATTGTAGAGTTGAGAACAATTTTGAGGTTGTAAAGAATGTGAATTAAGCAAATTCAAAGTGACATCAACTTTGACAGATGTAATGTAGTGTCATCCTAATGTTCTAGTGAAATTGGAAGTAATTTTTACAAATCACAGCTGCAACCAAGGTATTGATTCGCTTATTGATAACAACATTTACTAATTTCAATCAGATTTGCATAATAATGATAGTACTAACTAGTAACTGATCTTTGTTAACTGTCTCTGTAAGATGAAACTGACATATTCAATAGTAATAGTACCTCCAGGTCTGAATTGTATAAATCCATAATTTTCCAGTCTTTTGGCAGTAGCCTCAGAGAAAGCTTTCACCCAGAAAGACAAAGTCTCCCTCGCCAACTGGAAAGAGAAAATTGACCATCCAAAATAAATAAATAAGGGGAAACAGAAATTACCAAAAAGGCACCTGGAAACATGAAGTTAAAGATTAAAAGATTTAAAACTTTAGAAGGTAACCACAACGAGAAAAAGCGCCAAATTTCCAAAACTTTTAGCTTATAGTTTACCAACTTCAGATTACCTCGTCAAAAGTTACTCCACCAATCTTTGAAACACTGCCACAAAATGCTAGATCAACAACCTCCTTCCCCAATCCATAAATCTCAAATATCTGTGCACCACAATAACTAAATACAGGAAACAAACATGTCAATTGGCCAGCATTGTTTACAAGGCATCTGTAAATTGACTTCCAAGAAAGTGAAGAAAAGACTTGAGAACTGGAATTTCTGACTTGTACCTTGAAAGCAATGAGATGCCCATCTTTGAAAGAATTTTGAGAAGACCGTATTTAACTGCCTGGAATGGCAAAGAACAATCAATACAATAAGCTACACATACAAATGTTAAATGCAGCAATCCGGAAATATTTTCAACAATGAAATCCACGTCCTTATAAAGGTTGAATGTTAAGAACTGGAGGACAGCTATTTTTCTGATGCACACAAACATATAACAGTCAATTTCCTTTGCTAGGGCACCTAATAATCTGAACAAATCTCTGATTTTCAATTATTACCAATTTGTTAAAACTTAAACCAAAAGGTTATACTAGAAGGGAAATGAAATTCTATAGTTCACATAGCCTCAAAACATTTTTAACAAATGAAAAGGGAAGTGCATAGGAAGTACTTGCAGCTAATATAAAGAAACTACAATGAAGCTAAAGTACTGTAGTCAGGCACTGAAACAAGACAGCTTTAAGGTATGAAACAGCACTTGGATGTTTTTCGTATTTCATTATGCATATAGTGAAAGTTTTTAAACAATTTCTTGTTTCAAGCATGTACTAACCTTGCAAAAGTTCTTTTGTGCTTGTTCAGTAGTTACAGTAGGCATCTTTCCATTCATCATCAGATTCACAGTTCTTTTACTCAGGCGCCACTGCCGGCAAGTTTCCAGTGCCAAGTACGGACATATAGCACTGAAAATAATCATTTTAGGAATATAAATTTTAACTGTTCTTATTGTCGATGCAAGCAATAGATGCGTGGCAAAGACATAAGCAAAATTAAAGTTTAAGGGGATGAACAGCGAGTTCTTACAAGATCCAACACTAAAAAAGTTAGAGAAGTCAAATGTGAAACTGATTCAAACAAGTTACATAGAATTCTGACCTACTTTGACAAATGGAAGTTAATAATCTACTTATTTTGAAGCAATTTAGATACACAGCAGTACAATACATGATGTTATATGAATATTCTTTCGTCAGTTGCAAGTGATAATTTTCCTGTATCTTATAGCTTGAATTATGAATAACTCTTTAGAAAGTTGTGAATGGTAAACATCAATGTGTCTCATTCACAAAATAGACTTTATAAGTAGTTAACATGTGATAGCAAAATATTTAAAGCTCGAAGAAAGTGTAGACCAAATATAGGGGAAGTAACTTGATATTGTTGTTATTTTTTTCCCCTAATGGGAGAGAAATTGACAGTCTATATAACTATAGATACTTGAAGTGTCTTCAATAACTGTTTTACCCACTATTTTTTAGCATAACCAAAATCTAAGAAGAACAAGGCAAAAGCATCATCTACAAACATTTCATGTAAAGAGGGAAATTTAACCTAGCACCATATCCAATCAAACAGGCAAACTGATGAGTGCTGAAGCACTGAGCAGTGTCTGCGACAATTGAAGTTGACATTCGCAAGCCATTCTGAATAAGATGCTGATGAACAGCACCAACAGCAAGAAGAATTGGAATTGCAGGCCGAGTGGGTTCCTGTGAGGGGAAAAAGATTGGTATCACTCAGAATGAAGAGATTAAAGTGCATTGAAGTTTCCTTGCATGGTCAGGCTAACTGGAAAAAGTGAATGAAGGGTCGAGATATATCAGCCCCATAACACCTATATGTGGAAAAGAAGACCTCAAGAGTGATCACAACTTATAATTAATGCATAGCAAAGCTTACCAATTCTCCTATGCAGAAAAAATATGAGAGCTAGAGAGAGAGAAAGAGAGGTGCATCCACATATTGCATTAGATAACGACAATTTCATAATTGATTGAGATCATGAAACTTTACACTAGCAAATGTCGTGATGCAATATAATGGGTTTCAAAATCCTGGCTAAGCAGATGCACTGTTAAACAATCAAGATGGAGAGCGATAAACAAAGATGCATGAGAATTCAAAGCATGCAAGTGTTGCCCCAAACTGTAAACAGAAATGCACACATGATTATGTTTGGCAAAATGATTCTTAAGCAGGAGATTCGTGACTAGGCGTATAATCAACAGTGTTTTCTTTCTCCTTGCAGCATACAAAGAGCACTGAGGAAAAAAAAAGCAATTTGGGAAGCATGAAAACTGAGTCAAAAATAATTGCTCAAAGTTTAATTACAATCAGTGTTAGAAAATAATATAAATCATATCTTGGAATCTCACCTAGCAGCTTAAGCTTTTAGGTTGAAATGGTTCTTTAACATGGTATCGAGCCTTGATGACCAAACAGTCGCGAATTCGAGTCTCGGCACCCTCATTTCTCTTCTAATTAATTAAGCATAAGGTAATATTGGCATGTGCAAGCTTCAAGCCCAAAAAGCTTTCACTTAAAAGGGTTTGTTAAAGAATAATATAAATCATATCTTGGGACCTTACATAACAGCTTAAGCTTTTGGGTTGAGATGGTTTTTTGACAATCAGGAACTCTAAGTAGAAAACAAAGTCAAACAAGATACAACAACCATTCAATGACCTAAGCTTATTCTCATGGAAAGTGTTATCAATATAATTTACTTTCAATACAGTAAATTCCAATTCATCGCAAATGGAAAAGGAAAAACAAAGTTGTCATTACCAGATCATCAGATCGATCACAGAGAACAAGCAATTGGGAACCATTTCTAACAGCTTCATCAGCTGCCTCACAAAGCTTATATAGAGTTTTCTCCAAAGAACCCTCAACCCCTTTACGTATATCAAAAAAGGTTGGTAAAACTTGTGCTTTTAGGTAAGGATCCTTCCGTAACAACTCAAGCTCTCCTTCATTTATTACAGGACTAGACAAGATAACCTGGTCAAAAGTAACAAATATTTTGAGTCCACTAGATATATGAAATCACTAACATGCAATTTGTTGCGACAGAAGCATTATAAAAATCATTAGATTCACTGTGAGGAAGCAAGGATAATACTCGGCACCTGTGAAGCATTTTCTGGTCCAACTTCCAAGATGTTTCCCCGCTTACCGATATTGACTTCAAGAGACATAACTAACCCTTCTCTGAGTGGGTCTATAGCTGGATTTGTAACCTGCATTCATAGGATAAAAAAGAAATCTCAGCAGACAATATATGATTTCAAATTACATTGGTGTGATATCAAAAGGCTATTGCATTCAGAATTCCACAGAGGTTAGTTCTGAAAATCATAGAGCACAGTTAAGAAAATAAATATCAAAAGGCATGTTCAAACCTGTGCAAACCGTTGTTTAAAATAATCATAAAGCATATGTGGCTTTTGAGACAATATTGCCAATGGAATATCATCTCCCATGCAAAATGTAGGCTCTTTCCCTTGTGAAGCCATATTCTCAATAACCATTTGGACATCCTCGCTGGAGTAGCCAAATGCCCTGTTGCCAAGAGAGTACAAAATAATGAACACCAACCAAGGTGGTGAATACTACAACTATATATAAATAACTTTTAACATTAATCAAAGCTTTCAAGTGGAAACTAGAAGAAAAAGAAGGTAGGGAACAAAGATGAGAGCTTACGTATGTCTGCAAACCTCTCTCACATGCACTAATACATACATATAACATACAAGACACATGCAAAACTAGAGGATAAAAATATTTCATTACACTTATGATCTCTGGACTGCTAAGTTATAGTACATACAGATTTACCACCTTTCAATTAGTCATGGTATGCATATCCAAGGAGATCTCTTAGGACAGTTAAAACTGGTCTTGAGAGTTGACACCTTGTGATGCAAGAAGCTCCAACCTAATCGTTGTAAATATAGTAAGCAGATATTTACATGTTGTAACTATAGTAAGTACATACATAATTATAGGAGTAATCATAGGAGTATCCTAAATACGGTAGTTGCATTGATATATGTATATGTACCGATCTCTTCTATAATAAAAAAACATATGGGAGAATTCAATTTCCTCTGTATTTACATGGTATCAAAGCTGCTGTTGCCCTAGTGAGCTACAATATTTTTTTCTTTCTTTTCGCTGCTGCCTTAGTGAGTCGCGTTGCCTTGTTGCCCTATTTTCTTTCTTCTTCTTTTTGTAATGGCTAACGGAACAGAAAAGAAAATTGTGATCTCTGATGTTACTACAACAACAAAGATTACAGAACATAAACTCAATGGACAAAATTTTTTAGAATGGAGTAAAATGGTGATGGTGTATCTCCGAAGTATTGATCAAGACGATCATCTTACTGATGATTTGGAAACGAATGCTTGGTTGAGAGCAGATGCCGGAATATATTTGCAGATTCAAAACTCTGTTAGCAGTGAGGTAATTGGTCTGCTTTGCCACTGTGTGTTAAAGATCTTATGGATTATTTGGCATTTTTATATTCTAATAAGGGTAATATTTCTCATATTTATAATGTATGTAAAAAGTTATATCATCCAGAAAAGCAAGATAAAACCCTTACTAAATATTTCATGAATTTCAAACGGGTTTATGAGGAGTTGAATTCTCTCCTTTCTTTTGGTACTGATTAAAGGCTCAATAGTCTCAATGTGAGCAAATGGCTGCCATGAGTTTTCTTGCAGGTCTACCACCTGAAATTGACGTTGCTCACACACAAATTCTTTCTAGTCCAGAAGTTCTCTCTTCATGACAACTTCACTAGAATATTACTTACAGAGACATGTCAACCTTCTTCTGGTATTATTAGTGCCCTTGTAAGCCGAGGTAGTTAGAATGAGGGAGGTCAAGGAGGTCAAAGTGGCAAAGGTGGTCAACATAATTCTTGTTTTCGAGGTGGTAGGAAAGATAATTATGGAGGAAATGGTAGTCGTGGAAAGAATGATCTTTTCTTCAGACCAATTACATGCTATTTTTGTGGAGTCGCTGATCATACAAGATGTATATGTTGGAAACTTCATAGAAAACCTTCAAATTCAGTTCATGTTGCAAACTTTGCAACCCAAGAGGTTGGTCATGCCTTTTCCTCATCTATAATGGTGTTTGCTGATGCCTTTTCTCAATTTACTCAATATCAATCCTCACTAAATTCTTCCAACCCACCTACTACTATTAGTGATGAGACAGATAAACCCACTACATGCCATACCCTTCCAAATAGGTCATTGATTCAGGTGCTAAGGATCACATGATAGGTAAGACAGATATTCTATCCTCCTTTGTTTCACTCAAAAATCTTCCTAGTGTCACTTTGGCTGATAGTTCAACCACATTGGTTATAGGAATTGGAAAAGCTCTTCCTACATCATCTCTCACTTTGTCATCTGTCTTATGTTTACCCAATTTTTCATTTAATCTACTATCAGTCAATAAAATCACTCGAGCTCTTAATTTTTTCTCATTTTTTCCTGACCATTGTGTATTTCAAGATCTTATGTTGAGGAAGGTTATTGGTGAAGGATGTGAGTCTGGAGGGCTGTATCATCTTCAACCTATACCACAACCTATTGCTTGTTCCAATATTATCACCCCTTTTGAGTTGCATTGTCGGTTAGGGCAGCCTTCTTTGTTTGTTTTAAAGAAATTGTTTCCTTAGTCTCAGAATTTATCTTCTTTAGAATGGAGTCATGTCAGTTTGCTAAAAACCATCACGTGTCGTATTTTCCTAGGATCAATAAACAGATTAAGTCACCTTTTGAGTTAGTTCATTCTGATGTTTGGAATCCTTGTCCAGTAACTTCTACAACTGGTTTTCTGTATTTTCTCATATTTGTTGATGACTATTCTCGTGTTACTTGGTTATATTAATGAAAAGTCAATCCGAATTGTTCTCTATACTTTGTGCTTTTTATGCAGAAATTCAAACTCAGTTAAATGATTCAATACGTGTTTTGAGGAGTGATAATGCAAAAGAGTATTTTCCCAAGTCGTTCAATACCTTTATGATGCCAAATGGAATTCTACATTAATCATCATGTGTTTGACAAACCACCTTAAAATGATATAGCTAAAGAAAGAACAGACATTTACTAGATGTTGCTAGAGCCCTTCTTTTCAAGATGAAAGTTCCTAAACAATTATGGGCTGATGCTGTCTACAACGTGTTTCTTAATCAACAGTTGCCCTCCTTTGTTCTTTCTGAGGATACTCTTCATTCTATTTTATTCCCTTCTCAATCCGTATTTTCGATAGAACCACATCTTTGGTTGTACGAGTTTTGTTTGTGACGTTAATCCCAAAGCGTTAGATCCTAAATCTCTCAAGTGTCTTTTTGGGGTATTCTCATCTTCAAAAAAGTTACAGGTGTTATTCTCCTATTTTGGGTCGTTATTTGATTTATGCTGATATAACATTTTTTTAGACTGTTTCATTTTTTCAAGATCCTTCCACATATCATTGTGAGGGAGAGAGAAGATATTCTGATATATACTATAACTACAACTACTATTTTTTTTATATATAAAACGAGGACGGTACCCTGACAATCTATAAATAAAAGATGGGGAAAGACGGGAGGGCAATCCAGCCTAACACACAGGATAGGAGGGCAAGAAAGCCTAAACCCCAGCCTAGAAAACCCTAATGTATAGGTGACTACAACTACTAAATTTCTTATACCCATTAAGCCACCTATCACCCAAGTTTACCCTCGCCGTACTCATCCATGAGACCCACAGCAAAATCAAGACTAACTTCCTCCGCCAACTCTTCCCTCTACAAATCCAAGTCTTGATCATCCAATTCCTCTTCGTAAAGGTAAACGACAATGTTCTCATCCTATCTCTTCGTTTGCTTCTTATGACTACTTGTCTCCTTTGCATTGTTTTATTGTTTTGTTAAATTCAGTGTCTATAACTAAAATGTTACATGAGGCCTTGTCCCATCCTAGCTGGCGAACTGCTATGGCGGAGAAAATGATGGCTTTAGATGACAATAATACTTGGGAATTGGTGCATCTCCCTGTAGGTAAACAAGCTATTGGTTGTAAATGGATGTATGTTGCCAAGGTAAATCCTGACAATTCTATCGCTCGCCTCAAGGCTCGATTAGTTGCAAAAGGATATGCTCAGACATATGGTGTGGATTAATTTGATAATTTTCCTTCGATTGCCAAACTTGCATCTGTTCGTTTATTTATCTCTCTTATTGCTACTAATGATTGGCCCTTACAACAATTAGATGTCAAAAATGCTTTCCTTCATATTGATTTGCAAAAAGAAGTCTATATTGAGCAACCATCTGGGTTTGTTGCTCAAGGGGAGTATGGGAACGTCTGTAAAATTTGGAAGTCTTTCTATGAGATAAAACTGTCCACGTGCTTGGTTTGGGCATTTCAGTGCAATAGTTCAAGAAAAAAAAGAATAATTGTGACCATATTGTTTTCTACCAACAGTTGAAAACTGTTATTATCTTGTTAATTGTATATGTTGATGACATTGTGATTACTAGTGGTGGTGATACTGGTATTTTAGCCCTTAAGTCTTTTCTCCATACCAAATTCCAAACAAAAGACTTGGGTTTATTGAAATATTTCTTAGGCATTGAAGTTACCAGGTACAAGAAGGGTATTTTTCTTTCTCAAAGAAAGTATATTCTTGATCTGTTGAAAGAAAATGAAAAATTAGGAGCTAAACCTTCTAGTACACCAATAGCTACTAATCTACAGCTTACAACAGATGATGGAGAGTTATTTGCTGATCATAAGAGACATCAAAGGTTAGTTGGAAAACTAAATTATCTCACAGTAACTCAGCCTAACATCGCATATCCTGTTAGCATTGTGAGTCAGTTGTCCTTTCCTCGAGTTACTTATTGGATAGCATTAGAACAAATCTTATGTTATCTCAAAAGGGCTCTAAGGTGTGGTTTATTCTATAGTAATCATGGTCATTCCAATATTGAGTGTTTTTTAGATGCAAATTGAGTTGAACCTAAGATTGACAGAAGATTTTCTACAGGATATTGTCTTTTAGTGGAATTTGATGTCATGGAAAAGCAAGAAGCAAAACATTTCATCTCGATCTAGTGCAGAAATGAAGTATAGAGCTATGACATAATCCACGTGTGAACTTGTGTGGACATCTCAATTGTTAAATGAGATTGATCTTGAAAATTCTCTTCCTATGAAATTGTGGTGTAATAATCAAGCTGCTCTTCATATCACATCAAATCCAGTTTTTCATGAAAAAACTAAGCACGTCAACATTGATTGTCACTTTATCCGTGAGAAAATTCAGCAAGGATCGATCTCTATAAGCCATATTAAAATTGGAAAACAACCAGACGACACCTTCACAAAAGCTTTAGGGGCCCTAGAATTGATTACATTTGTAACAAATTAGGCATAATTAACATCTATGCTCCAACTTAAGCGAGAGTGTTATAAATATAGTCAGTAGATATTAACATGTTGTAACTATAGTAAGTAAATACATAATTGTAGAAGTAATCATAGAAGTATCCTAAAAGGCTTAGATGCCTTTTCAACCACAAGATCTGGAAAAAAAAAAAAAAAAGAGCAATGTGGATTATCTCTAAGAGGAGCCCTCGCGAAATCACTTTTATTTGTTACAAAAACAAGTGTTATTGGTGTCTAGGTAGTCTTTGCAACTGGCTTTGGATTGTCATTTATGATGCACAAATTTTAAGGTTTATCGTGTTGACTAGGCCTGGTAGAGGTTTGGTCAGGTTTTGGCAACTTTTCACCACAGTTTGGATGCCATGTATGCCTTCCATGATCAAGTCTACCAGCACCTAATTCCCTCTGATCCATTTCATTTTAGTTTGTCATTGCCAAATCAAGGTTTGCAAGCCAAAAGTGATTTTTAATCAATATATTCACTCATCGGTATGGCAGGTTTGCATCAAGCCCTTGTATTCAGTTTATGCTCAGAAATAGACATAAAGTACTCTAATTTGTTGTTTTGTATCATATGATCAATATTGGCGGTCTGTTTATCTTAATTGTACCTTTGAAATAGAATGATTGGTTGGTCTCTTGGCTCTTATCTGTTGATGAACTTATTTCTATTTATCTGTTATCCAAGGAATAAACTAGATTGTGAGTCTCGACGGACCCACATGCCCATGGTGCTAGACACAACCCACATCGTGTCATGAGATAAGTCTACATTATACTGGCAATTTTTTTAATTCTTGGATATAAACCATAACACAAAATCCCTAAGTCAATTAAGAAGCAGATAGCCTTAAGTAGATGCCAGATATAACTATCAGCTACGTAAAGTTCAGCATTCAAATTTTTTGAAAAAAATCATCATATATAATTTATAGCAGAGGATGATACAGCAAACTAAACCATTATGCTTACTGTTGGCATTTTAAAATGGCTTCATTGTCCATAACTGGTGCTGAGAGGAAGTTTGCAGGCTTCAAGGATCGCAGGTTTCCGCTAACCCACTTTCCATATGGATTTGACAGTGCTACTCGCTTTTTAACTTCAGTGTTCTCATAAACCTGCAAATCAAAATGCTGATCAATAGTCTAATCTAGATGTAGGTCAAAGAATTGTCAATGCTATCACAATGAAAAGTTGCCACCAGCCTATTACATGTGCAATTGCACTGAATCTATCTACCAAAATAAGAATTGGATCAGCATAAATAAAGGCAATAAACAAAAAATAGCGTGCATTTTCAGCAATGAAAGATTACTTTGTAGTCCAAAAAATCAAACAGTAACATTAAAACTCTTTCTAAGTTCACTAAAAATGTTCAATGGTAATATAAACTACAAAAAAAAGGCATAATTATTAAAAGTTTTTTTCTATTCTCCATCAAATACATTGATTTTGAACAAAGAGAGAAGGTAACTTAACAGTAAAACCAATTTAGAAGTTATGATAGACCAGTATAAAAGGATAAGTAATAGATTAAAATGGTTGTGGAGTTACAATGAACTAACTACTTACAGTCAAATTTACCTCATAAAGGTATCAAGTACAAATAAAAAATAAAAAATTTGCCGCACAAACCTGGCCACCAGGTAAATCTACAGTTATCATCATTCCAGGACCTAGACGGCCTTTCATTGTTACTTTCGATTCATCCATTGGTACAACCCCAACCTGATTAATAAAAGGTACAGTTAGCGTTTTAAGTGCAGTGATTGCAACATAGAAGAACAGGTTTAAGAGAAAGGTGATAGTATGAAATTAATCAGATGCACATCAATTATTTAATGATGCAATCCAAAATATTTTGCTCTAATGTTTACAAATAGAGCATGAAGCCAATTGGGTTACTACTCCAAAGCTACCTGATGTTCTAAATGATCCACCAAGACAACAGAAATTACAACAAATATATGCATGCAGCATATTTTCAATGAAAATCTGCTGGTTTAGGGACTGAAGCCAGAGAGAACAGGTTTCTTAAGCGATTATTCAAGTGACAGAGTCATTTCATTCTCACAAGATTTCAACCATCGATCCCACCCTAACCAGTGGAATATGTTTGTTATTGATGTAGCTAGGAGATGTGGAAACAAAACTTAGGTACAGCTAAAGGAAACTTAGGAATGATAAAAACGAGATCAAACACCTCGAGATTGTAATCAAAGTCAGATTTATGCTCATTTCATCCTATTCAATAATATTAAAAAACAATGCTTTATTTATTTTGCCAGAGTTTCAATTAAGAGTTCAAGCAAACTTCATGTCAGTTCTTTATTTAATAAAAGATATTCTAACCAAAGGAGGATTTTGTGATTTAGGCCTGATGGAAAAGGACTAATGTGAGAAAGGACCCACAGCTGGGTTTCTAATAACAATAGAAAGTTCAAGTAATGCCTGATCCCACCACCAAAACAGGCCACCATTAAGCAATGGCATATCAATCATAAATAAAAGTTTCAAGTGATTTTACTACAATAATGCAAAAAAAAAAAAAAAGGACTTTTGAGGACCGTAAGTCAAAGAAAATTAACAGCACCAAGATGTGCATATCATGCTCTAACATCCAGTTTCCTTTGACATTATCAATCATGTAGTACTTTCAATTTATAAGATATGTGGAACACACCTCAGATGCAACATAGACAAAATTGTCTACTGTCCGCCAATATCTAGCAGGACGAAGTCCATTCCGATCAAGACAAGCCCCGACTGTCTTTCCATCACTGTACCATTTGAAGTAAAACAATAACAGTCAGTAATAAGAACTGGAAAAACAAATATACAATTAACAATAAAACTCATTACGAAAGATCAATATTCTGGACCACTACACATATGACCATATACATGCGCTTGCATGCGAATTCATTTACATAAGCAAGTAAATTATTATTTTACATCATAATTCACTCCAAGGCAGTTCTATTGACAAACCTGATATTTTATTAATCATACCATCGCATTTGAAAGTACAGAACAATCTGCCCAATTCCATGGCTCTATGTTTTTAACAATGCTTAAAAGGACTAAATATCAAAACCAAAATCAAGAACACTTCCGAATTGTTGGTGGTGACATCAATTATCATCTATAGCTCTTTTCTATTGGTCCTTATGTGCTACCATCAATTCCTGACTCTCCAATGTAGTACAAGAAGTCTGGAAATTTACCTGAATAAGAGTAAAGCAGGTCCATCCCAAGTTTCCATCTGACCCTTGTAATAATCATAAAAATCTACAACCTGCAGAAAAACCAACAAATTATGCATTGCCTGCATGTAATTGCAATAAAATTATGAGGCATAAATTTTAATTACAATCACCACCTTTCAGTTACATGTTTACTTAGTATCAATGACAAAACAGTATCAGCACTGATTTAATCAAATTAAAAGACACGAGAAGAATCAGAAATACATAGATTAAGGTGGCAAAAACGGCATGACTGCCAAAATTCTAGAAGGAAAGAAGCCCAAAATAGAACTCGGTAAATGGGAAGAGATGTAGGATGCTGACCCAATAAGTTATGTTCTAAGGCTTAGTTCAATTAGTTTAGCATTCAGAGGAAATATTGTCAAATTCAACTTGCAGCTTAATTGTAACTTTAAATCACCAACAGAAAATACCTCAGGATATTTGATCATCAAAGTTGGATGATTCTTATATGCCTCTGGAACGAGAATCATTAAAACCTCCTCAGGGGTGCGCCCACTTCTTATTAACAACTGAAAGGAGAAAAGGCAAAAAAAGTGAAACACAGAAGGCTTACATAAGAATAGCTAAAGAAGATATCAAAAATTTACCAATTAAACTGTACTAAATTGGGTCTACAGCACACACACTTCCCCCTTTGTTGTGGCTTGCACCCCATCGCATATATCGGTTTTAGTTAATAATCCTGGCGATAATGATTATTCATCAAATAAAACCCATGTACTATTCGTTTCATTTAAACATAGAAAGAGGGTCAAGAATTATTCCTTCATAGTACCAAAACAAAGAGTGACAACATTATCAACTTTTAACTCCTAGCACCATAAGAAGGTAATCAATAAAAAAGTTGGCCCAGCTAAAATGGGATAAGCTAGATTCTGTATGATCAAAACTTTAAAGATTCTAGCAAACCTTCTTCAGTCCTTGCTAATGATATCTAATGAAAAATATGTGAGTAGACCTAAAATACTCACAAGTGAGTCTCACTATGATAAAAGAAAAGGAATCGGAAAATTAAAGAAATCTACACAGAAAATTAGAAAAATCTTCTAAAGTAGCCACATATGAAGGTTGAGGAAATCATGTAAGCATAATAGTAGCCCTTACTTCTGCTGCACTGTCAAGATTTGCAGAGTCTGATGCCTTTGGGTTCCCATAAGGACGAATTTCATTTTCACGACCATGCCAAACAGAAGATTTCAATGTGGCTTCTCGTGATTGCATCCAGTTCAAGTTACCCTGCAAACATTTTAGAATCAAGATAACAAAATGCTTTGAAATGCTAACTACATAGCAGTACTGCAAAAAACTTTATAACCTGTATGGTGTTGATCTCTCCATTATGACCAAGAAACCGCATGGGCTGAGCAAGGGGCCATCTGGGACTAGTATTTGTGCTATACCTTCGATGATAAATGGCAAAAGGTGATTTGTAGATGTCATTCTGAAGGTCAGAATAAAACAGCCCAAGAACTTCAGAACGAAGCATTCCCTTATAAACAATTGTTTGATTAGACAAAGAACAGAAGTAGAGCTCATTCCCCCAACTTGCTGAGTTTGCTGCTCTTTCAATCAGCTTCCGGCAGATATACAGTTCTCGTTCAATGTCATCAACATTCTCTTCTTTAATAACTCTAACAAATACTTGTTGTATGTTGGGCATGGTTTTTTTTGCATAAAAACCAACTACTGACATATTTACAGGAACAGGTCTCCATCCAAGCACCTCAAGGCCCTCTTGTTTAAAAATATTTACAATCGCTACAAAACAATCACAATGTACAATCAATCGAACTGGTGCTACAGTAAACAAAAGTGTCAGTCGTGCACATTAAACTGCAACAGAAAAGAAGGAAGAACAAGAAGAGAGAAAGGCACTTACTGCAAAATAGAAAAACACATATATAATACACACATGTTCAGGAATGAAGATGGAAAACATTAGCCAACACTCATTGCATACAGAAACCTTAAAAGATATCAGCTAAGTTTAACTGCCAGGTACATTTATCTTTCCCTGGGCAGAAGCCTATTAGGAATGAGGACCATTAACCAAAATCTACGACAATGGTATTGGGCTACATTGCGATGCAAAGCAAGAAAACCAAAAGAATAGTGCATTAAATCAATATCTAAACAAAATTCAATGCATTTAATTCAATAAACTAAAATGCACCATTCTACGAAATATCAAAAATGAGATAATGAACAAACATTCCCAAACACATGAACTCAACCGAATTCAAAGCACTTCACACAATTACCTTCTTTTGCTTCTTTCATAAGGTTATCATCTTTAGGGAAAAAACCATCCCAACACCAGTATGCAATTTATCAAAAGAACCAATCCCTTCACTCGTAGCCCACTTATCAAATAGCTCCCACGGAATCGAAGTCATCAGTCCTGCCCCATCACCGGAGTCATTATCTGCTCCACAACCTCCACGATGTTCCATACAGCCAAGAGCTGTAAGTGCATCCTCAACGATCGCATGGGACGGCTTGTTTTCCAAATTTGCAATAAATCCAACTCCACATGCTCCTCTTTCTGATATTATATCTTCCAAGTTTGCTACCTGTAGTCCATTGAAAAAGAAAAAAACCAAATTGAACCTTATGGAACAGTATTCTTCGGTACTATTTAGTTATCTACATTTCTTACTCTTCAAAGCAAACAAAAAAATAAATAAATATATGATCATCGTATGATAAAATAAAAATATTTTTAAAAGAAAAGGTCTAAGATTCACTAAATATTAAAAAACTAGATTAAAAATGCAATCATCATTAGAGGGGGAAAAAAACAACAACAACACCAAAATATCAAAACGAGCACGTCTCTTTTTGAAAAAAAAAAAAAACTGTATCTCAGCTCAAAAGGTGAAAAGAATTCTGAAACAGAAATACCTGCGGTTTCAAATCAGGAGGAGAAGAAGACGGCGGTGACATATTACGACGGTCGACAGTGAAAGTGGCGTTGACTGGACAGGACGATTTCTTTTTGTTAGCAAACCGACAGAAACTCGAAGAAGAAGAAACTCCGATTCTCCTTCTAGTCCTCTTCGATTTACAATACAGGCCAACAAAATCAACAAATAATAAATTCTTATTAACTGAGTTCGGTCTTGTTGCATTGACTAGTTGCGGAATCGGAGAGACAACTGGTGATTGAAGAGAAGCCATGAGAGAGAGAGAGTGAGGACGTGAGGACGTAAGTACTGAGTCAGTGAGTGAGTAACTAGAGAGAGGGGAGGAAGGAGAGTGAGTGTGTTTGTTTTTTTGGTTTTTTCTTATTTTCGTGTTTTGGTAATCGTGTGGAGAAGAAAAACGGAGGATGGTTTTTTAAGAGGTGGATAAAGAAGAGAAAGGACCGGAACCACCCACTCCTCTTCTCTTAACTTCTCTCTCCCTGGCGTCTGCTAACCACACTCTGCTGCTGCTGCTCTCTCCTCTCTCTCTCTCTCTCTCTTTGTTTTTTTATGTGGATTTTCCCTTTCTTGGCTCTGGGGTCAGGATAATATGTGTCTCGGCACGTTAAGGGTTGCAGTGATTGGTCGATTTATAAAGAAAATCCAAAAAGATTTAAAAATAATTGTATTCGTATTATGGTGTTTGGTGAAAGGAAATAAAAAGAGAATAAAATGGATCTACAAGGAAAGTTGATTGTTATATTTACCTTATTATTTTGAGTTTATGTCAAAATAAATATTTTGATAGAAAATTTCGAAGATACACATCAGGTTAGATGACTGGCCAGTTAGTTAATAAGAGACTAATTTGAAAAATATATCTAAAAACCAAAAAAAGAAATAAATATTTTGATTAAAAAAAGTTTCATAAACGTATATCAATATAGACGATTGGCCAGTTAATTAATGACAGATTAATTTAAAAATATATATATCTAAAAACTAAAAAAATATATTTTAATAAAAGAGTTCGTAAACGTATATCAATATAGATAACTAGCTAATTAATTAACAAGAGACTAATTTGAAAAATATATCTAAAAGCCAGAAAAAAAAATATTTTTTTATTAAAATATTTGATAAACGTGGATCAATATAGATGACCCGGTCAGTTGTATGGTTAATAAGAGACTAAATTTGACAAATATATCTAAAAGCCGAAAAAGGAAATAAGTATTTTTATTTTGATGTTAAGAATTGATTTCTCTGGAAAAAGAAAAAAATATCTCCAAAAGTTTCTTCTCTTTTTCGGGTGCTTTTTTTTTCTTTTTTCTGCTTATAGGTGGCACTTTATTCTTCTTCTTTTCATTCTTCATTTATTTTGTTTCCAAACAAAGAAGAGGTGGGAGGAATTAAAAAGAGTGTAGAAAAGCTAATGTTGTTAAGATCGTTGAGTTTGATTTTAAAGTTACATCTCTCCACCTAGATATTCACGTTTATTGAGTATGCATTAGTTTTTCATTTATGCTACATTGCAAATCGAAAAAAACATATAAAATTATTTTTGATTGAAGATTTTCACTATATTGTGAATCCATCAAAATATAATAATTATTTTTTATTAAAATTTTGCATTTGATTAATTACTCGTTGTATCTTTCAAAAAATTTCTACAAAAAAAAAAAAAAACACGATTTATTCTTATTTATTTGATTCTTGACTAAAAACTTGTGATAATCTAATAATAAAATCTAAAACTCTATGGATTTATAACTAAAAATTTATTTTGTAAATTATTTTTTTAATATAATACAAATTCTCTAAAAAAATATTTTAATATTTAGATTATATATGATATTATCATTTAAAAATTCTAAACGTCCATCATATAAATTATATAATTTTTTTTAAAAAAATAATCATTTTGCAAAATTTTATTTAAAAATCCATGCATAGAGAACAATAAATCATGTTTATCAATAAATATTATTTAAACAAAATAAAAATTAATTTGATGAAAATTTTAATAAGAAATGACAAATTGAAGAAATAAATTTTAAACAATAATAGTAATATAATAAAAAATATATTTTTATTTTAAAATATAAAAACATATCATATAGATATATTTATTTCATGCATTAGATGTGAATATAGTGATAGATATATTTATTTTATGTAGTAGATGTAAATATAGTGATAGATAAATTATAAATCAATCCATTTTGTTTTAAGAAATGAATTAATTAATCATTTTGAGTTCAAAAAATAATTATTTAATATTTTTAGCTAGGCTAATTTTTTATTTTATTTTTCAAAAAATTTCTTCTTTTCTCATCAATCTTTTCCATATTTTTATTGATTTTTTTTATTTCTTAAAACAAAAAGTAAAGAAAATTGAAAAATAGAAAGAAGGACAAAAATTAGTTTTTGAAATCAAATAGACTAATTAATTCATTTCCCTATGAAAGAGGGACTAATTTATAATTTACTCTTGAAGACTCCTCTCACGAAAAGGAGAAAAAAATGCAATCACTGCATCATTAAATGCTTGATTAAAAAAAGAAAAAGAAATGACTAAAAAAAGGCTAAAAGAGAAATTAAAAAAGAGAATAGAGCAAATGTGAATTTTTATAAATCCAACAAGTGGCATTGAGATTAATTAAAACCAAAAGGGAAGGCCATTTATAATGCAAAGGAAAAGGAAGAGAAATGACAAAAAATGGATAGGAAAGAAAATTAAAATGAAAATCAGTCAATAACAAATGTGGATTTTCATAAATCCATCTAATGGCATTAAGAATAATTAAGAGAAAAAGAAAAATTATTCAATCCACAATGATATTAAGTGAAAAGTGAACAGTTTAGCAATAGCGAAATCATCGTGCCTTTTGACTTCTTTTATAATAACTTGAAAAAACTATGGATTTTTTTTTAGGATTTGACCATTTAATTATGGCATGAAATATATATACATAGTTTGTCCGAATGTTATTTTATAAAAGCATTCCAAGTTAGTTATTATTAGATTTCCTTTTTATCCCCTAATAAAAAAAACCTTGAAACCCCATGTTTTCACAATCAGATATATAGTTTTGAAATGATATATTTTGCGCTTGCTAAAGTGATATTTATAGCTCATTTATTCATAATTAATGTTAATAAATTATAAAAATATATATATATAGAAAAAGAGAGAGGGAGAGTTACGATCTAATTGTACAGTAGGTCTAATCCAAAACAAAAGTATAGTCAATGTTTTTGCTTCTTGCATCATTATCTCATATCTGAATTCACCCTAAAAAAATAGAGTTTATTTTATTCAAATATCAGTTTTGAAGTGAACCATATGATTAAAATTCAAGAAAACACTAATTTATTTTAACAGATAAAGCTCACTAACCTTTCCATATAGTTCGATATTCAAGCCATGCTGTAATTAATATAATTCTCATGAATTTTGAGTCTTCACATGTATGCTGTATATCTGACCAAAAAATATTTAATCTTAAATGTACAAAATTGCATTTAAAAATATCCATAATGGATAAAACCAAAAAGCAAAAAAATAATATAAGCAAAATCAGCCTTGATAAAATTCGATTTTAGACGAGACATCAAGTGAATTTTGATTAAATTATAAATTAGTCCCTCTTGTTCGGAAAAACGAATTAATTAATTATGATTTCAAAAACTAATTATTTAATTATTTATCTGTTTTATGTATTTTTAATTTTTTTATATTTTAAAAAAACAAAAATAGATATTATGAAAATATTGATGAAAAATTAATTTTTTAAAACAAAATAATATTAAATTATGTATGATTAACAACAATTAAGGAACTACATAATTAGTTTTATAAAAAAAAGAACTAACTAATTAATTTCTAAAAATTAAAAGGACTAATTTATAATTTACTCCGTGAATCTTTGATTTTCCGTTCTGCTATTGAAATTAAGCACTAGGCTTGGTAATTACGTGGCGCTAATGCTGCTGCTGTGGTAAACTCCCGCGGACTCACTCTGACATTGATACGGAAATCTCTTTAAGATTGTCAGTTTGTCACGTCAACTTGTTTTTGGTAATTATTATTTTTTTTTTGGGTAACAAATATTTTCGAATCCACTCGCAGCCATCAAAATTAAATCTAATTAGGGGTGTTTGTTTTAAATAATTTGCATATAAAAAATAATTTATGGAAAAAATCTTTTTTTCTAAAAAGTTAATTACTTTCTAATATTTTACTAATTTAACTTAAATCATTTACTTAGAGCTAAAAACTTTTTGCTAAGACTGTTTTTTAATTTGTTTATTGATGTGAATCCAAACATATAATGGTTGAGTAAATTATAAGTTAGTTCTTTTTATTTCTAGAAACGAATTAATTAATTTTTTTGTTTTTAAAATTAATCATATAGTTCTATATGTAGTAATTTCGTTAATAACTTAATTTTTTTTGTTAGTTTTTTAAATTAATGATTTCTTTTTCTAAATTACTTTTTTTAATATCTTATTTCTCTTCTTTGTCCACTTAGGTTTTTTTGTCCCCTCAATAAAAAATTTGAAGAAATGACAATTTAAAAATAAGAATCATTTATATAATAAAAAATTTGATAAAATAACTAAGTTATCGACAAAATTAAAACATAAGAGACTAAATTATTACTTTTTAAAAAAGTTTATTTATTTATTTTTCTAGTCAAGAGGGACTAATTTATAATTTACTCTATGATGGTTGTACAAGTATATTCGAACTTGTTTATTGTTATGAGTTCCAGTCGAATGTAGCATGTGATAATTGTAACATATTTTGCTTGAGTTTCAAATTTGAAAATAATCATCTCAATCTAACATATTAAACTATTGAATAAGATCTAAAAATTTGATTTATATTATTATTTAACATTTGTAAGTTAATATGTTAAGTAATTTTTTCATAGCACACCAAACACAAGAAAATCTTTTTTGAAAACAAATGCTTCCTAAATATAAATTGTTTTTATGTTTGGATTGTAGAATTTGAGTTTTTGTTTAGATTCATGGTATTTTTGTTTCTTTATAGTATCATGGATTTTTTTATAAAAAAAATAGAAATTTTGCTAAACTGAAAATAATGAAGGTTTTTACATTTAAACAAAAAGCCAACCAATTCACAAAAGGATTCTCTAATTTTATAAAATGAAATTGGCTAATATATCATGTCAAGGATTGTCAAAAAAAAAAAAACGTACAACAAATATTTTACTTAAAAACTAAAAATTTAAAGATCTA